GATTACAGGTGCATACCATCATGCCTGCCTAGTTTTTATTATTTATTTATTTAGTTATTTTTATTTATTATTATTATTATTTTTTTTGCGATGGAGTTTTGCTTTTGTCACCCTGGCTGAAGTGCAGTGGTGCAATCTTGGCTCATTGCAACCTCCACCTTCTGGGTTCAAGTGATTCTTCTGCCTCAGCCTCCTGAGTCGCTGGGGTTATAGGCGCACGCCACCATGCCAGGCTAAGTTTTGTATTTTTAGTAGAGACTGGGGTTTCACTGTGTTGGCCAGGCTGGCCTTGAACTCTTGACCTCAGGTGATCCACTTGCCTCAGCCTTTCAAAGTGCTGGGATTACAGGCGTGAGCCACCATGCTGGCCTATTATTTATATATGTATTTATTTATTGATATTTATTTATTTATTGAGACAGAGTTTTGCTCTTGTCACCTAGGCTGGATTGCAATGGCACGGTTTTGGCTCACTTGAACATTCGTCTCCCGGGTTTAAGCGATTCTCCTGCCTCAGCCTCTCGAGTAGCTGGGCTTACAGGCACCCGCCACCATGCCCAGCTACTTTTTGTATTTTTAGCAGAGATGGGGTTTCACCATGTTGGCCAGGCGGGTCTTGAACTCCTGACCTCAAGCAGTTCACCCCCCTCGGCCTCCCAAAGTGCTGGGAGGACTACAGGTGTGAGCCACCACGCCTGGCCGCTTGGCTAGTTTTTAATTTTTTTGTAGAGACAGTGGCCTTTCTGTGTTGCCTAGGCTGGTCTCGAACTCCTGGACTCAAGTGATCCTCCCACTTTGGCCTCCCAAAGTATTGGGATTACAGGTGTGGGCCACTGCATCTGACCCGGTTTCAGTTCTTGAAGTTTGTTCTGTGTGTGTGTGGAGTGGGGGCGGAGGGGCAGGTAGGCTGCTTTATCCTCTACCCACGGCCCCCTTATTTCCCTCTTCGTTAAGTATTGGGGAATAGAAACTACGTAATTTGATTTCATGCATTATCTTAATGTAAGTTTTTCTTTTTTTTTTTGCAATACTGAGATTACACAAATGCTGATATTTAGGCATAATTAAGATGAACATTCATAGGTCTTATATAGAAGATGATAATGAGACGGACTTGGTAACTGTGTGTCGCTGGGAAGTGTTTTTAAGTTTCCCAATTAAACCCTGTGAATCATGTTCTATCGCAGTTACAAAGATTCAGAAAATCATTACTCAGGTCTTTTGCCAGTGAAAGTGAATATTATGTTGCTTTTATATAATTTATTTGTATGTGGGACAGAGAAAAGATGACTCTGTTTAATAACTCTCCCAGTAGAATTTCAGCTGTGTAAATAGTTGAGCTTTTGTCGTGCATGCTTCGCTAGAACAGCAATAGTTATTGTTTTAAATTATCAGAAGTGACAAAATACTTTTTCTGAACTGTGACTTAAAAACTTGACTTTTTCCTAATTTAGCACCAGAGACAGAAATAAAAACCAGCTTGATGCCTTTGGTGCTGAAAAAGGAGTGGAATCCACAGTTCTACAAAGCCAAGCTTGTGCTATGGCAACTCAGACCACTTAAATCCAATTCAGTTATCCAGTGGAAATTTTCAAAATGGAAGAAATTATTCAGAAGTTCTCATACTTCCCCATTCTTGATTTCTTATTTTTTGCTAAACTCAAGTATACTACATTTATAAGTATGTTTAAAGGATACAGAAGATGCATTGGTATATTTGATTCTATTATTTAGTCTTGATTTTTAAAAGTTCCATGCTAGTGGGTTTTATTATCTCTTAGAATTGGCTTCACTGTAATTTCTTTGCTACTTGTGAAGATAGTTTTGGACTCATTCCTCTCACCTCTCTTGGGAGGAGTGTGTTCAAGAGGAGGAAGAAGTAACTCAGTAATAGTTTAAGTTGAATTGTCCTTTTATGCCGTTCTTTGTGCTCATGAGCTTTTTGCATGCATTTAAGGTAGGCATTGTTGTCTCCATTTTACAGATTAAAAAACTACCTCCTGAGATTTAAAAAAGTTGAAAAATTACCTAGCTCATGTGGTTATGGCTAGGAAGTATCAGAATTCAACCCAGTTTTATTTTTTTATTCCTGAATTCTTGGCTTCGATGTGTGTATATTGGTCTGAAAGGCAAATGTGGGAGAAGGAAGAAAAGGAGGAAGGGGGTAGAGATGATGATGATGGATAATTTATTGAACCTTGCCTCTTTGGTAGGCTCTCTAATATTAATTGTCACACGTGGTTTAAATCATTTAATCTGTGAGTCTTAAAAGAGAGCTACTCTAGTGTCTTCATTTTATGGATGGGAGACTGAACCTGAGTAGTTTTCTGTTCTAATAACTGAAGGTAGTGGTATTCAAACCCAGATCATTTTTTTTTTTCATTCTGGTAAAAAATGCTTAAGGTAAAATGTACTGTCTTAACCATTTCTAAGTATACACTTCAGTAGTGTTAAGTATATTCACATCGTTGTCCAACAAATCCTAGAACGTGAACCCAGATAATCTGACATCGGAGTTTATGCCCTTAACCACTTAGTGCATAAACAGAAAATTTGGTGTTGGATTACAAAATTTAGTGTTGGGTAATAGATGAACCATTTTTAGAATACTTATTTGTTTTATAAAAGACGACAGTTTTCTTTAGTTAAAAATTTTACTTGATTTGTCAAAGAATCACTTTTTTTTTTTTTGCTTCTCTTGAAGATGGAGAAATAAGGACCAAGTTTACATTCCTGCCTGAAAGGAAACAAGGAAACCAGGAAAAATACAGAAAGACAATGGCTTTTTTTTTTTTTTTTTTTTTTGAGATGGAGTCTTGCTCTGTCACCCAGGCTGTTGTACAGTGGCGCAATCTTGGCTCACTGCAAGCTCTGCCTCTCAGGTTCAAGCCATTGTCCTGCCTCAGCCTCCCGAGTAGCTGGGACTACAGGCACGGCCACCATGCCTGGCTAATTTTTTGTATTTTTTAGTAGAGACAGGGTTTCACTGTGTTAGCCAGGATGGTCTCCATCTCCTGACCTCGTGGTCCACCCACCTCGGCCTCCCAGAGTGCTGGGATTACAGGCGTGAGCCACCGTGCCCGGCCTTTTTTTTTTTTTTTTTGAAACAGTTTCACTCTTGTCGCCCAGGCTGGAGTGCAGTGGTGTGATCTTGATCTCGGCTCACTACAACCTCTGCCTCCCGGCTTCAAGCGATTCTCCTGCCTCAGCCTTCTGAGTAGCTAGGTTTATAGGCACCCACTACCACACCCCGCTAGTTTTTGTATTTTTAGTAGAGATTGGGTTTCACCATCTTGGTCAGGCTGGTCTTGAACTCCTGACCCTAGGCGATCCACCTGCCTCGGCCTCCCAAAGTGCTGGAATTATAAGCGTGAGCCACTGCGCCCGGTGAAACAATGATTTTTTTTTTTTTTTTTTTTTTTTTTTTTTTTGAGACGGAGTCTCGCTCTGTCACCCGGGCTGGAGTGCAGTGGCCGGATCTCAGCTCACTGCAAGCTCCGCCTCCTGGGTTTACGCCATTCTCCTGCCTCAGCCTCCCGAGTAGCTGGGACTACAGGCGCCGGCCACCTCGCCCGGCTAGTTTTTTGTATTTTTTAGTAGAGACGGGGTTTCACCGTGTTAGCCAGATGGTCTCGATCTCCTGACCTCGTGATCCACCCGCCTCGGCCTCCCAAAGTGCTGGGATTACAGGCTTGAGCCACCGCGCCTGGCCGAAACAATGATTTTTAAGGTATTGGTCATCAGGTAGTGAGGGACCCTGAGTGGCGAAACAATAAGGTTGGCCCTTTGTGCCAGCTTTCTGCCTTGAGAGATTTCTGGGTTATGGTGCTATGAGAGGGAACCTAGGTAGAGTCCAGTGAACTCCCTCAACTGAAGAGATGAAGACCAAAGTGGCTGGAGTTCACAGACAGAATATCAGGGTGAAGAGAGAGCTGCACAGAGGATCCCTGAGATCTGCAGAGACTTCCACTGTAGTGTTTAGCAGAGCTCTGATCAGCTCCTATGAGGAAACTACCTGAGGCTCAAGAATCATCCCAAAAGATTAGATTGAATGGTACCTGGTGCTCAGATAGGGCTGTAAGTAGTGCCTTTTTTTTTTTTACCAGGTAGACTGGAAGAACTCAGTTCATGGAGCATTGGATAGACTATTGAGATAGGTCTTGTCTCAGTAGTGGGAAATAATTAGCCCCAGACTGAGCACTCATTCTACATAAATTTGTCCAGAGAATTGAAGAAGAGGTAATACTTCTCAACACATTTTTTTACCCCAATACCAAAACTTGACAAAGATAGTACAAGAAAAGAAACTGTAAGCCAGTATATCCCCTGAACACAGATAACAAAATTCTAAACAAAATTACAGTAAATTGAATCTGACAACATGACCAAGTAGGGTTTATCTCAGGAATGCAAGGTTGGCTTAACATTCAAAAATCAGTAAATTTAATTCACCATATTAATAAATTAAAAAGAAAAAAATATGATCATCTTAATAGATGCAGAAAGAGCAGGTACAGAAATAAGCATTTATTCCTGATAGTTTTCTTTTAACTTTTTATTTATTTTTGTACTTTTTGTTTATTTTTATTTATTTTTATTTTTATTAGGGATGAGGTCTTGCTATGTTGACCAGGCTGGTCTCGAATTCCTGGCCTCAAGCAGTCCTCCCATCTCAGCCTCCTAAAATGCTAGGATTACAGGAGTGAGCCACTGCACCTGGCCCTGATAGTTTTTATCAGCAAAATGTGAATAGAAGAGAACTTGCTCAGCTTGATAAAGGACATCTAAAACAAACTTACGGCTAACATCCAAACGTGTGTGTGCGGTTGGAATTACTGTCATGATAAGTTTTAATAATATATGTGTTAATGGAGAATTCGTAATAGTGCTGGGATTAGGGAGAAATTGTTTCATACATATTCATAGATACATGAATCATGTTAGAACTAGAAGGGGTCTTCAAGATGATACTAATTCCGACTGTTGTTTATTTTTTATAGGTCAGTACGGGAATCCTTTAAATAAATATATTAGACATTATGAAGGATTATCTTACAATGTGGATTCATTACACCAAAAACACCAGCGTGCCAAAAGAGCAGTCTCACATGAGGACCAATTTTTACGTCTAGATTTCCATGCCCATGGAAGGTGAGTGAATTTATTGCTGACTGTGTCTGAAGTTCCTCTGTGTTCAATCTAAGTTGAAGAAGAAATTTATATCCTTAATTTTCCTTCTCTAATGCAAGGTCTTCATTTGGAAATTCCATTTCCACTGGAATTTGGTATATGCATTAGAAAATGACTTATTTTAAAATGGATTGCCCTTTTATATTGTTGAGGAAACAGTCAAATTTAAATGTTTTTGAATTTATGAATCAGATCTTACGTTAGTAAAAGATATGTCTTTAAAGAAGTTTCTGTGTTCATAGTTTCTTACTACTTTGTATGTTTTATGGTCAATATATCTATCTACTGGTGCCAGCAGTGAAGGTAACTACTTGTATGCCATTGAATACATCATTTACTCAGTTTTACCAGTTCTAAAATGACAGCTGGTAGACAGATTACCTGCTGTATTGTTCGATTCTCAGTCAGAATTGTTAAGTGATAAAGGGGAGTCAAGGGAGAGAAGTTTAAAAAAATCACTTATTGAGTACCTGTTGTGTTCTAGATACTTTATATGCATTTTCTTGTTTAATCTTCTCAACATCCAGACACAGGTAAATAGGTTTTTACATCCGAGGAAACTAAGGCTCAGAGAAGTTAAATAGCTTACACGGCACTGATTTTACTGAGACCTGGCTAAACACCCCTTTTTTTTCCTCTATCTATTAGGGACTCTTACAGAATCTTGGAGATCTTTGTGAAGCCCTCTCTATCTTATGTGTAATTATTAAATCTATTCCTTTTGTACTTTTTCTAATGATGTAACCCTGATTGATTACTGTAGTATTCACTTCCCAGTAAGTTTCCCAGCTTCCACTCTGTTTATCATTAAAGCTATTCTACTGCTATGAGATGACTTTTCTCTAAATACTTACTTTTTCATGTCAGCTTATTGCTCTAAAGTCTTCAATTAATGATTGTTAGCCAGATTTTCTTAATTTGACTTTAGTTTCTCTGTAAATTAATCCTAGTCTATTATTGTAAACTTACTTTGTTTTACTTCCCAGCATCAAGTGTCTGTTTCACCCAGAATGATCTTCTAGTCACTGAATATACCACGTAAACTTTGTTCTCTGTGTCATTTGTCCTAAATCCTGATCATCTTTTAATGTACAATTCATCTTCTGCCTCTTAGACGCTTTACTTTTTAATTCCCTCTAAACTTTAAAATTGCTTATCGGAATCATTGGCATCTTCATTTGTGCTCTCTTCCTTTTTGTGGGTACTTCTTATTAATTTTTCCATAACTGTGTTTTCTGTTCCTCACAGGCATCCTGGCTACTATTTGGTATTATCTATTATATGGCACATATGGTACATGTGCTTAAAAAACATTTTAATGGATGAAAAATCTGATAATTAGGAATGCTATAAAACTTAAAAGTATTTTGTACATGGAAATAAATGTGTTACTTAAATTAATGATTCTCCATATTACAAAAGTAATGATTATTGTTGAAAAAATTACTTTCAAGTTATAAAATATTTATTTGAAGGAGGGAAAAAGGTTTATTTCAGGGTCTTTACTTCTAGATAAACATTTTAGTGGCAGCAGTTTATGTAAATTTTTATGATCCTTCAGATGTTTTAAAATTACTCTTTCTTTATTAGTATGTACTATGAAATTACAAGCAATCATTAGTCTTACTGTTTTTAATGAGCATCTCAATATATTTAGTATTATTAATTATATTAATATATACCAAATACGATTTGACTGTCAAAAGGAGAAGATTTTAGCTGCTTTTGGCTTGAATATCTATTCCTAATAATCAGATTTTTGTTAGCTATATCATGTAATTCATATTGAATAAATGGCAGAACTAAATCCCTAGCTCCTTTGTGTGTGTGTCAGTGAGTGAGAGAGAGTCGGGAAAGCGAGAGGGTTTGCATGAGTGAGTGGGCTGCCATAAAGTTGTCCAAAAAAATGTTTATTGACTGCTAGTGAAAAGTTACTTAGTGTAGGCTGTGGGTGATAGAAACATAAAGCAAACATAGATCTCATAGGAGCGGTTAGATGTGCCTAAGTTATTGTATAAGACACATATGATGTGTTACATTACAGATAAAATGCTGTAGGTATTCAAAGGAGGGAGAACTTCTTGCTGAGGCACTAAACAAAGGACCTGAAACCAGGAAATCTCATGTAATGTGGTCTCATTTATAGGGGTCACTTTAGGATACCTTTTTTTTTTTTTTGAGACAGAGTCTTGCTTTGTTGCCCAGGCTGGAGTGCAGTGGTATGATCTCGGCTCACTGCAACCTCTGGGTTCAAGTGATTCTCCTGCCTCAGTCTCCCAAGTAGCTGGGACTACAGGTGTTCACCACCATGCCAGACTGATTTTTGTATTTTTAGTAGATACGGGTTTCACCATGTTGACCAGGCTGGTCTCGAACTCCTGATCTCAAGTGATCTGCTCACCTTGGCCTCCCAAAGTGCTGGGATTACAGGCATGAACCACCATACCTGGCCCATTTTAGGGTGCTTTTAACACAAATCTGCTTAACTATACAAACTTACTATATTTTCTAGAATTTCAGATAGTTTATTTTTCCAATTTTTATATGTTCACACCGTCTCAGAATTTGTGCCCTAAAACATGGTCGTTGTAATTACCTTTTAAAATACTTTAATTAAATATGCAATGGTCTGATGATCTTGTTCCTCCCTTTCCTTGAAAATAGGCCTACAAAATGACTGGAGTAGTATAATTATAGATTTCCTGCTAGGTCTTTCTTCCTCTTCTATCGTCTAAGAAATACTAGTCTTGGTACACTATAACTCCTCCTAACAGGATTTCTATCTATATATAAATTATTTATTATTTGTTAATAACAATTTGTAGTAATTAGTATTTTATTTTTATAAATTCTTATTTTTTGTATTTAATATGAATATGTTTTATTTTTATTTTTAGGTAGATTGGCTCAATATATAATAAATATAGTTTTGAAATGACTTTGGGTTAGAGTTACTTGTAGTCCAGCCTATAAGATGTGTACTATCAGGCCGGGCGCAGTGGCTCAAGCCTGTAATCCCAGCACTTTGGGAGGCCGAGACGGGCGGATCACGAGGTCAGGAGATCGAGACCATCCTGGCTAACACGGTGAAACCCCGTCTCTACTAAAAAATACAAAAAACTAGCCGGGCGAGGTGGCGGGCGCCTGTAGTCCCAGCTACTCGGGAGGCTGAGGCAGGAGAATGGCGTAAACCCAGGAGGTGAAGCTTGCAGTGAGCCGAGATCTGGCCACTGCACTCCAGCCTGGGCAACAGAGCAAGACTCTATCTCAAAAAAAAAAAAAAAAAAAAAAAAAAGATGTGTACTATCTTATAGTCCAGCCTACAAAATTGTACTGTCTTATACCTGGTGGCTAGAATTGTTATCTGTATTTCACCCTTTAAAAAAATATCAAGTAGAGTTTATTTCGTTTCATTCACATAGTAGGCTTTAGTCCCCTAGAATCTGATCAGTATAATTTAACATGTAATAGAATATATTAAATACTATGGAGTTAACTTAGACATACCAAGAAGAATATACTTGGAAAGGGTTTTGCTTATACATTTATGACTACATTTCTGGGTAGTAGCACAGCTTCCCTCTCTCTCTCTCTCTCTCTCTCTCTCTCTCTCTCTCTCTCTCTCTCTCTCTCTCTCTGTGTGTGTGTGTATGTTTAAGTATTAAAGTAATTTTTTGTGGTGTTTACATCTAAGCACATGAACATACTTTCAACATGGCTTCCAAGTTTTCTGATTAACAAAGGGTATATTATATGCCATGGTTACAGATGTTACTGTTAAGTGAAGAAACGTTTAGATTTTTCCAAACCGAAAGTCCGTTCTTAGGAATTCTATCGCTAGGTGTGGTGGTTCATGCCTGTAATCCCAGCACCTTGGGAGACTGAGGCGGGCAGATCGTGAGGTCAAGGCCATCCTGGCCAACATGGTGAAACCCTGTCTCTACTAAAATACAAAGAATTAGCTGAGTGTGTGCCTGTAGTCCCAGCTACTCAAGAGGCTGAGGCAGGAGAATTGCTTGAACCGGGGACACGGAGGTTGCAGTGAGCCGAGATGACGCCACTGCACTCCAGCCTGGCGACAGAGCAAGACACTGTCTCAAAAAAAGAAAAAAAAGAAACAAATTCTATGAAAAGCTGTTGCTCTTGAAATAAAGCTTAAAGCTGTTTGAAAATAAAAGTACCATTTGAGTCAGTGCCACAGTCATTAAGGAAACAACTCCAGTAATACTTATTAGAAGATTAAACTATTTTGATAATAGATATTAGGGTAAAATACATCTCTTAGCTTGGCTGAGAAATTAAGAATCACTTTTCTAGGTTTCAGAAATTACTTCACTGAATAAGTTCTGATGAATTGGATTGCTCACTTAGCAATGCTGTATATATATCAGTTATGGCATTTATCACATTATAACTTTATTTACATGCATATGTCCTCTGCTCCTTGTGAGCTTGAAGTGTAGAGTGTGAGTCTTATTCACCTTTTTTATGTAGAGGATGGTCATTTTAGCTATATTGAGTGAGTGAATTGCTGGACATGGTGGCTCATGCTTGTAATCCCAGTATTTTGGTAGGCTGAGGTGAGAGCATCACTTGAGCCCAGCAGTTTGAGACCAGTCTGGGCCACATGGCAAGATCCTGACTCTACAGAAAGATTAGAAGAAACTTAGCTGAGTGTGGTGGTGCATGCCTATAGTCCCAGCTACTTGGGAGGCTGAGGTGGGAGGATCACTTGAGCCCGGAAAGTTGAGGCTACCGTGAGTCATGGTTGTGCCACTGCACTCCAGCCTGGGTGACAAGAGTGAGACCCTGTCTCAAAAAACAAAACACCACCAACAAAACATTTAAGTACATAGATACTAGGAAACAGATTTTCTTCTTAAATGTTTTATACTCTATCTCATCCTCTTTGGTAGTTGTTCTTAATGACTAAGTAATAAGCAGATTTGTCATATTGTGGG